CACTGTTCAGAGAGCTTAGACCTGATTTAAAACCCAGATTAAATTTATGTGATTTTGAAAAGGAGACTTAATGTAGAAATAGGGACTTGCAGTCTAACATTATGGACTTTCATTAATAGTTTAAGAAAAGTTCAAACAGGACACGATGATTGTTCGGCTCAAATTATTGCTGGAGATAGTGCCCACCAAAAATTAAAATATCCTCACAACTTAACCGTCGGTTATATAAAATTCTGAGTAAATATGACAATCGCAATTTAATTGATTATTAAAAGGGGATCACGCATAATATTTCATTAAAATAAAGATTCACTGACAGATACCCGTGAAACATTTTCCCGTCAACGTTTTCTCGTCCTGTGATTTTCCACTTTTGACATTTTTCCCCGTTAAAAAAATAATAACAATATAAAATGATTTATATTTTTTAAATTCTATCCTGTACACATATATTGCTTTTAATATTATACCCGGTAAACGGACAAACTATTTAACATTGTTGTTTGATCTATAAATATTTGTATAGGTTTTATACAATTGTTATGCCTATAAAGATAATAGCTGTATTAAATATTAAATTGAAATAATTGAGCAGTTTATCTATAACCGTTACCGTAGTTATATTGTCGTTAAACCATCACGTCGTATATTATTATATTCGTGCATAACTTTTTTTTTCAGCCAAACTAATTTTTCTATTGTTATACAATTATTTACGTTAAGAATATATAAAAGGAAAAACGTATTAGTATACGCGGGAAACATATTTGAAAAGAACTATATGAAAAATGAAAAGACGTATTGGAAATGTATTGAATTACAATGAGTGCAAGTGTCAAAATTACTTGCGCCGATTCTTTCCGAGCCAAAACCACCACGCCGAAATGATCGTGTCGAAATGTCCGCGTCGATTTGTCCTACACCGAATTTAGTTTAGCAACGATACATCATTGCGATCGATTGGAGCTCGTTAAACTGGTAAGGTCATTACCATTAAATTATTCTGAAATTTTAATGTTGGATAGGTTATCAAAAAAAAAAAAATGATAGAAATCGATAAGAACACACACACATACTACCAGTGTTTGCCATTATGAGGTTTAGTATTCTTTCCTAGCTGTTTCTCGAGATAACTAAATTCAACTTCATAAATTAACTTCATAATTACAATATCCGTGCCTCGCCATAATTAAATTAGTTTCTTCTCCGCGTAACACCGTTACACCAAAACAGAAACAGAAAACAACACAAATACCTATAAAATATTTTCGTACTAATGAAAGTCTGAAATTTGAACGGGTAATGCGGAGAGTAAAGTTCTCGATCCTGCAGTAAATTCCCACGGACTATTGATTTGTGTACCAATTTCGGAAGAGACACGTACGACGTACGTTTATTTTTACTGCAGTATTGCGTATATAAATTATTTTATGTATCGGGCCGCATTCATAATTTTGTATGTACAGAACGCGCCTCAAATAATAATATTTGCCTAATACTATGCACAGTTAAATATTATGAATTGTGAATAAACTTCGGTCGGTAATCGCGTATAAAATGTTAAATGTAACGGCGTCGAATAGGCAAATTATTGCGCGGACAAAAGTTTCCCCGCCGAGTAATTTTTAGACGACTACTATAAAATAAAATCGTTATTTTTAACGTGGCCATTAAAGATTTTAACGTTATCGCGTCGGTCGTTCGACGCGGAATACAAATTCGATCGTTTACTTTAGTTTTATTAATTTTGATGCCGTCGGGTATTTCGTACGCCGGCGGGGGAAAAACGGGAAGGGTTACGCGCTCCAATGACTAGTCAATTAACGTCTGGGTTTTGGCCGGCGACGACGACGACGACGACGGTTTTTCCGCAAAACGACGAAACGCCCGTGTAACGTTATTGACAGCCGAGTAAATAATACACGAATAACGTAACGTCCGTACCCGCACGGTTTTCGTTATTGTTGTTATAATAGAGGAGACGTTATCTTGTTTGGTCGGTTTTTCTTTCACGGTTAACGACTCACGTGTTCACGGTCGGAGGGCGAAAAACGAAAACTCGACGTTACCGCAAATGTAAAAAAAAACGCGGAACGGCGGACCGCGGCGACCGCGGTTGTGACGGATACTTTCCTACCCATCTTGTCGGGTCCTCGGCGATATTAATAATAATAATAATGATAATAATAATAGTAATAATAATAATAATAATAATAATAATAATAATAATAATAATATTGCGGCAGTGTCGACGCGAAGGCTCATCAAGAATGCATTATTTTAAACGGCCGGGGAACGCCCGTAACTTCGTTACACTGCCAGAGTACCTACAGAACCCATAGAATAATTATTGTGGCGCGTAACGTGTCCAATATACGTGCAATAATATTAATTTATTGCGCACGACGACCGCCGGGGATCGTTCGATTTGAGAATAATACGTTATTATTACGGTCGGACGAACGCAATGCGTACTGTAAAACCCCGAAAACGTCCGATGAAAAAACAAACAAACACTTTTATACCTAAATTGTTAAACAAATGAAAAAAAAAAAAACAAAAAAAATTGACTAAAATTAAAACATTTAAAAAGCTGGCAACTTCGCACGTGGGTGGGCCATTGTTGTAGGTGAGAAGATGGGAAGGTAGGAGAAGGAAAATGTAAGGTACGTCTGTAGGCAACGATAAACCATTGCTACTTAACGAAAAAACGATTCTGAACGGAGTTCAGATGATAGTGTTGCTTTTTCATATTATGGTAAAATAATGATAGAGACATTATACATTTTATTTAATAATATTTGTTAAATATTGTACCCATTTTCTCGTTTTTTCTCGGTTTTCCCGTGTTTTTTTCCTATTTATCAAGAAAACTCCCGAGAAAATCAAAATATGATCTTCCTGAAGTATCACTGCAGTCAGATTTCCTTTCATAAAAAGTGCTACCATTGTACATCAAAGCAAAATTGCTGGTATAAAAGTTTTACACAGAAAAAAAAAATAAACATTTAAACGTTATTGTAAAACCATAAGCTTCTTCGCTTCACTCCGAATTTAAAAACATTTAACATAAAATGTATTATTTTCATTCGAAAATACCACGAGTAATCAATTGTTTTTGTTATAATAGTATTATATGCAAATCTTGCTAGTGTATATACAAATTTCCAAAAATTGAATTTGTACACGCAATGACTGAAAAAATGCACCAAATGCCTCGTGTGCTTAAAAATAAGAAATGAACAAAATGACTTAAAATATTTAAAAATAAATATTTCAGTAAAAACTTCAAAATACAATTTCTTATTATCAACGAACATATAAAAACAATTTATTTTTAGAATTTTTCTTTTTACAAGCAATTAAAGGTAATATGTCGGTATGTCTTGTTCAATTATCCGATTCGTACGTAAAAAAAAGTTTTTAGTAAATTATCCATAAGTATAAACGGTCGTCGATTTAAGTCCACAAACTTCGTACAATTTCAACGTGATTTACTATGCATAGTCACAGAAACAAACAGCGGTTTTTGCAATTTACATTTATCAAAATACGTTTGAGTGAACTCTGATCAGAATCGTTTTTCGTTATTCTTTCAATACCGTGGCTCTTTTTACTACTTATACTGGACACTACGGACGAAAATTTAACTTTTGTATTTAACGTGGGCAGTAATAGCATCGGTGACGTGACGCACGGGGTCAGGGGTCAGTTTATTAACACCGACGACGTTGAATTCTTTTTTCGATTTTTCGAGTACAGCTTTTTGGACCACAGACCGGAAACCTATTTTCCAACATTATAATGTTTGGGGATATCCCGAGTTACTCATTTCACAGCCCGAGTGTGTCGTATAGACACAACCTATTTATATCTATTTAAATATACGAATAAACTTAGTAATGGATAAACTGATCAGTGGAGAAACAATAGTTTGTGCTGACTTTGATAAGGAACACGAATTATGAGTACGGCTAGTAGTCGTGTAGTAACTAAGCTAGTGAACGAGTGTAATGCCGTAATTTAAAAATAATAAAAAATTGTAATGTTTTCACGTGCGAACAAATTTTAATACTATAGTACTTTTAAGTGTTCTAAAAACTACGTATTATATATTATATTTTATAACACCAGACCGACCGACCAAACGAGTTTAATCAATAGTTGATAATAAAATAACCGAATATTTTCGGGGTGCAGCCAGTCCACCTTCTCGCGGTGCGTCCCGGGTATTCTAAACGAAATGAGACGCATTCGGGATGTACTTTGAAAAAAAAGCCGGGCAACTTCGCACGCGGGCAAGGCTATTGTTGTAGGTGAGAATATGGGAAGGTAGTAGTAGAGGGGAAATTTAATGTATATCTATAAGCAACGCTAAACCATTGTTAACGAAAAACGATTCTGTGCGGTGTTCAGTTAATAGTGTTGCTTTATCAACAACATGTATGCCATATTATAGTAAAATACTAAAAACCGACATTATATATTTTCTCTAACAATATTTGTTTAATATTGAACCTATTTTCCCGTTTTCCCCTAGTTATTGGGAAAACTCCTGAGAAAATCAAAAAAAATTACCTCCTTAAATGACATCTGCAGTCCGATTTGATTTTAGAAATTGCGCTAGGCTTAAAAATCGGAGCAAGATATCCGGTAGAAAAATTGTCCACAGAAAAAAAAAATAAACATCTTTGTCAAATCATAAGCTTCAGCGTCCCGCTCGGGATCTAAGTTGGTTTTTTTTTTTTTTTTAATCGTAACGTATCCGGGACACGGCGAACGGATCGTTTCGGCGTTCGCTCGGGCAAAGCCGATAAATGTCCCGCACGACGATCGGGTGTACCGAGACGATTCTGGCGTAACAACCGAAATCGTCGGGTAATTTTTGTTTTGTTAAAAAACTATTACGACAGTGAACTGTATGTGTAACACGTTTAATAACAACGATCGCAAAAGACGTCGGCTTTTTCGGTTTTCAATAGTATTTCCGTTCGGGCTGACTACTGGCACAGCCGCGCGCCGAACACCGACGCACCGGTAGCGGCGGCGGCGGCGGCGGCGGCGGCGCGCCGGATGAGTTTCGCGGTGGCGTCAAGCGTTCGAGCGCTTTTCCGCGGGCCGTCCGCTATTCCCGTATCGTTTAACAGTCGTCGTCCGTCTCCGCCAGCGCGCTTTTCCGCGTTCGTCCGGTTTCGCTCCGTGGCCGTCGTCAAAGTATCGCGCGAAATAACCGGCGTAACGATCCCGGCGTCCTGCCCGACAACGTTTCCACCGTCACAGTTCCCCGGGAAAATAAAACATTTCGGCGCGTATTCGTCGTCGTCGTCCGTTTCGGTGTAGTTTTCGGGTCCGTTTCTCGCAAACCCCACCTCTCTCCATCCCATTCCAACCAGGGCTACCCGCCCGCGTTTCGCGAAAGTGCCGTGGTCATAATAATTCGTCGTCGTCGTCGGTGGTGCGGTCGTGACTGACAGATTTCGGCGGTGATTTTCGTCTCGCATTACTCCGGGGTTTTCTTTTTCTTTTTTCCCAAAACCCCCACCCGCCCGGCCGTCTGTCTCTGTTTTTCCAAAGTTTCGTCGTCGCGGTCCGTCCCGTCACCGCCGCCGGACACGAAACAGACACGCACTGCGGTTAGGACTTCTGGACTGTGTTTACGACGGCGATGCCTGCGAGCCTTACACGTAAGTTTCCGAATTTTTTACAATACGCGCATATCATGGGTAATATGGAGAACAAACATTTTTTTTTTCTTTAAAAAAAAATCCGTCCGACGAGACGGACGTTTTCATTATCGAAACCGACCGCGTCCGTCCGGCTCTGGATGCGCTTTATTTCTCGCGCGGTTGCGGATTTTACAATGCGTTTGTTCGCCTCTAAAAATCTACAATAACATTGATTTTCGTTCCGATCGGTGATAATCGGGAGCTTACACGAGATACTCCGCGGTCCGAGTCGGTTTATTATTTCACCGCCGTCCGATGACTGTGCGTTTATCTATACGACGGATTGCGTTTCAATTAAACGGAAAAAAGGTCGGCCGGCGGGTCACGGTCGCGGCGAATTGTCGAATTATTTTAATACCCCGGGACAATTTAATATTCCGGAATACGTCGCATCTTTTGAGCTTTTGCAGCTTCGGCGCACCGCGCGTCGCCCCGTCAACAGCTATATCGGATCCACCACTGGCGTTATCCGAACGCCCGACGATGATTCCTTAAGCCTCCCTTTGCGGAAACCGAGTTGTGTTATTCGCGATGCTGCTTGTGCACCGTGCAACTGTAGCCGGGTTTACTTACGGTAATCCGTTTAAACAATACATTGTGTATATTATCATAGTTAAACCTCGTTAACGATGTTCGTTATAATACTGCGGCAGATACAAGACGTGACGACGCGACGTCATCCGAATATCGCGTTTAGCAATTCTTAATTCGGACGAGAAAATAAAAAATGCCAGACATTTTTGGCAATCATCAAAATCAAACGGCAATCCTATACGCAATTGAATTGACAATTTCAGCGTACAATTTTCGGCCTTTCGACCGTTATTCCATATTATCCCGCAGAGTTCTATGAATTTTGTTTCAATGTTTAATCGCCATAATTGATTCTGAAAGAATTATCGAAAACGATGATCATTTAATGTACCAGTAAATTAAAAAATATCCTTGAATTTTCAAATTTGTTTCAGCCTGAAGACTTATCTTGTAAGTAACTTAAATAAGTCACTTATGAAGCACATTTTGTTTCATCTAGACAAATATCTTCACGTCACCTAAATATTGAACTTTATAAAAAAAAAAAAAAAAACTTATGTGATTTGTCTCCCGACCGAATTTATTCGGATAAATTATCCCATATAGATACACATTTTTCAAGGCTCGGCATTTACGGGTTAAAAAGTCACACACCGCATTCTTATTTAGGGAATGTCTCCCGTACACTGAAATACCCGACTTCACTAAGAATATAAATAAATTTATTTTTTTTTCTCATAAGTAAATTGAACTTCATTATGCCCATAAAAGATGATATAGTACACTACACATAAGTTCGACAGTTGATATACGTTTAACATCTAATACTGTTATCAAATGCAATTGATAGTTGATTTCGAATAATATATCTGTTTTATCCAGATATAAATTACGGTTACCTTTTAACTATTATCTGGATAATTTTTTTTTTTTTTTATATGCGTATCTTGCATTTTCGGTGTTCTATCTCCGTCTTGATAAATGTCTATTTCCGGTGTCTTCAAAACTGACTGTGTTTGCCTTCATCTTAAAATCCGTCAGTCATCGTTATCATGATATTTATACGATCCCGAATGAATACCATTGCTTTCTAATTGAAACCATTTAAGTACGCGGTGCACGGCGAGTGAGCGTTTGTGTTATAATAAAATCAAATTTTAAAACGATATTGTACATGCTTTTCTCCCATCGTAGCATAATACTAATACGTACAACTGTTTATTTTGCACGAGTGCTTTTGTAACTGCCGCATTTCGTAAACAAAAATACATGTATATAGACTCGTACCGTAATAACGTTGTATATTATTTATGCATTTCTTATAAATATTACAAAAATATCCAATTTTTTTTTCTTCGTAAATGCGTTTTTTGTACATTGACGTTTGAATCTAAAGTACACGGTTAGCGTGAATTTTAAATAACAGTCGAATATATTATTATGATTAGCGCGAGTTTTATTTGCAATAGCATGGTATAGATAAAATAAATGGACATATCATAATATCATTATATCGAACTCGGCGGACTAAAATGTTAGTGGTTTTTTTTTTTTTTTTCATAAAAATTCAGTGATAAACAAAACGAATCTATATATTTAAGGGGCCTGGTACCGGTTACCAAAGAAATGTATAAAAATATAAAAAAAAAACCCCTGAAAATAATTAAAATATTCGATTTTCGCCGAAATTGAATATCATATTGGCTAATGGTTAAAGTATTTTTAATTATAAAATATTATTACCTACTGATTTTCCGAACGACGTATTATTATGTATTTCGAAGTATATTAATAAAACTTTTTATCCTCGCTTTAACCACATGATATAATCATGTGGTTGAAAATAGTTTACCATTTTAATAGTAGTAGGTATGATACAGATTGTATTCGCAATATTTCACCGAAATTTTTAATAGATGAACAAATTGGTTGAACATTAATATATATATTTGTATTTTTTTCTTTAAAACACCTGCGCGGTAAACGAGAATTGTGATATTTCATAATCATTTGAAAATCGGTAATATTCACGAGCTATAAATCAATATTGCCAGTCCAATTAGTACTACCAGCTAGCATTTAATAATCGATTTGTATTGGAAAAAACACGTGATAACGTATTTACTTTGTTTTCAATAAGTAACAATAAGAATAACAATAATAAAAAGACGGGCATACATCGCACGTGGGTGCAGCCAATGTTGTGGGTGGGAAGTTAGAAAGTTAGGATACAGACGGGAATTTAACGTATACCTGTAAACAATGATAAACCTTTGCTAATGAAAAAAACCATTCTAAATGGAGTTCAGTTGATAGTGTTATTAAGTCGATAATACATATGTCATATTATTATGTCAGAATGGTTACAACAATGGGCGTTTCCGTGACAACAATGATTGTTTAATAACGATTTAAGGTAATCAAAACTTAATAATAACAAAAAACAAAAAAATAAAAACTGTTGTCCATGAAAGTTATATTTTTAATCTGTCAATCTTTTTTAACCAGGTTTTTTCCTCGTTATCTTTAATGTTAATAAGAATTTCAAAAAATGACCCAGTGAACATTTCTTTTCAGAAATAGTGCTAAAATTAATAATAGGAGTAAGCCATCTAGAAAAAGTGTTCACACACACAAAAAAATTAATAAAATAAAAATCACTGTAAAACCAATACATCTAAAATCAGTTTCTCGAACTAAAGATATTTTTGTATTATAGATTATATTATATATATATATATATATATATAAATAAGTCTGTGTACGGGGTAAAATAATTTAAATTTAACAATATTGCTCGGGAGATAAATTATTTCAATACATTTACAGTAATTTTAAGGGATTTATAAAAAATGTCTAGAATTCATTACAATTGTTTGTATAAAAATCGGGCAATAGCCTGTATAATATTAAAATTGTCCTTGTTATTTTGTCTCAATATTTTTGAACATTGTTTTAGAACAAAAAAAAAAAAACATTATAATAATACAGCTGATATGTATTCATAGACCAAAAAAAAAATATATATTTTACTTTACATGCTTTTTTTTTTTAACAATTTTTACATTCGTTTAAATTAAACAAACATTATTGAACATATTCCTTTTTTTTCTACTGCATGTTAAATTTAACAAATTACTTCTTTAATAAAACTACTTTATTAATGTATACGGTACAACAGTGTTAACTATGCATGATAATAATATTAAATTTATTATTGTATATTTTATAATATCTGATATTTGAACACAAACGTTTTTCTTAAAAATTATATATATATACTAACTGTAAAAAAACTTTGCTTTGTCCATTTTAATGGAAAATTAAATTTCATTTTGAAAAAGTTGTGTCTACATGTGATGTATACAGCAAATTGTGTTTGTCTTTTATAACATGTAGTAAAATTTTAGAGGCTCGAGTAACTAGTTCAATATTAAAGTTCGAACTTTATTAAGGATTTGAATTATTTGTACTATTTTTCCAAAGCAATATATTCTTATTTCTCTAAAGGCACTGCCTTGTTATTGCCGTTGAAGCCAAATATTTAGTACATTAGCAGTTTCCATTAGTGTATTGTAATTCGTATACAACAAGTGTGTACACAATGCTCTGGAGGATAGATGTTTTAGGTCTTCATCTAGTTATCTTACCTAAAACCTCTCATTTAATTATGACACAAAAATTTGTTATTAAATGTCCGAATAATTTTGGTTTTTCAGAATTTATGATTTGGATAATCTCCCTTTGATCTTCGGAGTGTAGTGAAGTATCTATTGGTTGTACTATGTTTTTTTTTTTTCTATTTGTGAGTAACCTTTCTACAAAAAACATCTGTTCTGATATACAAAGCGTAACACCTTTTTTCAATGATAACTTTCTCTAGTAGGTGCATTGAACGGGTAATTTTTTGACTTTTTAAAAGTTTTTTAAAAAAATTGGAGAAAACCGAAAAAAAAATAGATAAAATAGCAAATATTTACGGTGTGCTACAGTGTTACTGTTTTTTATTATTTACAAAATAATTTCTGAGTGAAAAGAGGAATGTATTGATTTTACATTGATGTTTGTGAACATATTTTTCTACCAGAAATTTTGTTCCATTTTTAAAGGTAGCACATTTTCTGAAAGGAAATCTGATTTAACTGGAGTGGTACTGTAAGGAGGTAATTTTCATTTACTATTCATTATTTCATTTACTATACATCACTATTTACATGATAAATATGAAACCCGAGAAAAAACGTAATAAAAGGGGAGAATTTAAGTAATGTATTATTTTCAAATCGTTAATAGTACGGCTATTCAAAACATGTAAAGCTCCGCTCAGAATTGTTTTTTATTAATAATAGTTAATTGTTGCATACAGATATACCTTAAATTTCCCCTCTGCTTTCCCAAATTTTTACCCTACAACAGTAAGCAACCTATTATGTTAAGTATGTTTATTTGTTTTTGTAGTTTCCTATAAAAAATATTGCTCCAATCGAAAAATGACAAAAGATTAAACCTTTTAACACATAGCTGCTGACAAAGAAAAGTATTTTTTGATATCCAAAGTAATTTTCATAATAATTTGAAAAACCAACAAATTAGAATTGATTAATATTTACGGCAACATGGTGTCCCGGTTTAATTATTTTTATTTTTGCAAACGATGTTTTCTACCGAAAATCGTGTTCCAATTTTAAAATAACAATATCGATTTTGTTCTTTTAATATAAACCATTGACAAAGAAAGCAGTTTTTTGATGTCTAAAGTATTTTTTATAGTTATCAGGAAAACTCAAAAAGATGAAAAACACGGTATTTTTTTTCAAATTATGACGCAATGATTTTATTATTTTAATTTTTACGCCTTTTGTTCTTTACCAGAAATATTGCTCTAATAGAAAACAAAAAAAAATAACTTTTTTTTTGAGTTGGTTATTTAATTGGTGTCCAAGAAAGTCGTTTTTTGATTCTCTTTGTAGCTTTTTTTAATAACTGAGTAAAACCGAAAAATATGCAGAAAGAACGAACAAATTTACAAAAATAATTTAATCAATTAAATTTTAAATATTATTTGATTAAAATATTCGTAAAGACGTAAAAATTGAATAGAAAATGTATGTATGCTGCCTTTTCTAGACGTGGTAAAATTTTCAAAACATCAAAGCCATTTTTGAGCTAATTATAGACATTTTAATTTAATGAGTTTTCTTACGTAATTTTCATTCGGTAGTTACTCTGTGGACAAAAATTTTAGACTGCTTGACTGTTAGACTGTTAGAAATGCTTAACAATTTTATAGGAGGTTCATTGTAAGTCGTACTTAATGTAACACAATAAATGTAGTTTTTTTTTATGAGAGTTTTAAAATCAAATTGATAAAAAACGTAAATATTTTACGTCCTTTCGAAACATGTATAACCGAATTTCGCTTCAAATCATTTTCGTTTGCCACGAATTATCGTTGGTTAAGGATATAAATTAAATAACTTTACGTATCCCACCTTTTATCATTTACCTTAGCTAGGATTTTCTCATTTGTCGTTGTCGCCATCAATTTTTTTTATTATTCATCCTTGAAACTACAATTCTGCTGCTAATAATCTGTTATTATCCTGCTTCTTTTGGTCCATACCTTCACACACGTAAGTCAATGAAATTTCCAAGAACCTTTTCTAAAGTAATGAATACCAATACAGTATATTTAAGACAAATATGAGTAGTAGCTAATAGAGTAATAAATGTAGTAGTGATGATATTATGATGTAGGGGTAAAGAATTATTGTTAAGTGTTCAGTTGTTGTTCATCGATACAGATGTACAAAATGAAAGTATGAGATATAGATAATGAGAACTGTAAGATGGAATTAGGTTAGGCACCAATGTAAGAAAAATTGTATTTTTAAAGTAATGTATACAGTTTTGTAATATAGAAAAGAATGATGATAAAACACTTGCTATGACACGTTCCGGATAAATTGTAGTAAATTAAAAAGTGTGAACATGAGAGTAAATCTATCGAGGGGTAGGTACTGGACAAGAAGACATGGTTTAAGGAAGGTTGACAGGACGTGGGTCGCGTGTAAAGTAAATAATAAAGATGACGGTGTAGATATAGGCAGAAGTGCGAAAGACCTGCAGGATTAAAGAAAATGATGTCATTTGTTGAAGTTTAAAGCATTTGAGTCAACAACACATGAGACACATTGTAATATTTTTAATGGTATATACGAGCCATGAACGAATTTTAAATAGTTCACTACAATTTTTTATTACAAATATAAATTTAAAATGTTAACATCAATACCTTGAGCAGTTTTTTTTTTAAATAATATCATTTTAAAATTATTATAATATTATATTTTTTTAAATAACAAATTGTATAGCCGTTAAAATGAAACACAAAAACCTATTTCCTTTTTATTTATTTTTTACGTTCTTTTTCGACGAATATAACACTTGTTGAAAATTGTTTTGACCGAAACATTTAATATTTTATAATATTGTAGGTATGATACATAATTACGGGTATTACCTGCATAATGGTTTTTTTTTATTTTTTCGTTTACTACATGGTTTTTTGTGTAAAGTATTCCAGTTCACCATCATATAGGTTACGGGGTGATAAAAGAGAGAATAATGTTAAAAATATTATAATGACGGTATAACCTCATTTTCATCTCGGATATTGTTTAAAGTTTTTTTTTTTTTTTATGCAAAAAATTCGGCTTCCTTTTTTCTGATCAGAGTAGCCAGGATAATAATCCGATCCAGGCATGCAAAAAAAGATTGTGTTTTAGTTATAAAAATGCATTCAAATTTAACATAATACATTGTTGAAAATCATAACCGACTTGAAGTTTTTGTAAACAAATTAATTAAATTAATTATTCAGAGAATTATTAGTGTTTTATTTTTTTTTAAATACTACCCTGTTATGTTCACGATGGATAAAACAATTTACAAGTGCGGTTAATGTCATGCGTAGCAATGACATTAAAAAAAAAAAAAAGAAAGAGCTGATGGAAAGATAAGACACATAAAGTAATTTGATTTATAACTGTACGCAAAAAAAAAAAAAAATCATTGCTTACGAAAAACGATTGGGATCGAAGTTCGGTAAGACAGTTTGAAATTCCGATATGTCGCGGCGCGCCGTAAATATTTGCCTTTTTACCTGTAATTGTCTCTTTGTTTTTTTCCGATTATTTCGACTAACCCTTGGAAATTCAAAAAAATGATCTCTTTAATGCACCGACTAGACAAAATTTCTTTTCAGAAAAAGTCCAACACTTTACACATTGAAGCAATATTTCTGGTAGAAAAATGATTTACAGATATAAAACATACACATCATAGTAAAACCAATAGATATCTCGTTACACTCCGAATATATAAACCTTATATTATCGTATTTAAATATCTAGGTTATCTTTATACGTTTTTAATGTAGTATATAATTGTATATAACAGTAAGTAAATCTTCGTTAGAAATAATTTATCTCAATAATGTAAAAACAGAAATAGGTTGGCTTATGACAAATATTGATGACATATATTGGTATGATAAAGGAATTAAATAAAATAAAATAATTTAAAAATCTCTGGTTTTTGTGCTTGTATAGAAATTGTAGCGCATTTTTTAACTTCTATAATTTTTTTTTTTTTTTTTAGTGTAAATGTAATAAATATTAATTTTATACTTTCTATACATACATACGTATGCCATATGGGGTAAACTATTTTTTACAAACTTAAATACATGAAAATATCAAACAATTTGAATACCAAAAATTAATGCAAAAATCAACAAATAACTTTAAAAACGCGATATACAATTCATACGATAGCAAATCGTTTAACTGATTTTCACTTATCAATAGTATCGCAATAATAATGCAATAAAAAAAAATGGCATTTAATAAGAGAAACAAAGATTAAAACTAGTGTGATTACACAAAAAAAAAGAAGAAATATACTGATAAATATACGTAATTATTAGTTTCTTCAGTTCCTTAATTATTATCGGTAAAATTGAAAAACATAGAACTGCTATTGGTTCATATTTACATAAACGAATGGGTTACAATTAGTTTTAGATTATGAGCGGAGCAAGGAATTTATTGGTATAAATATGATGTATTCTTTTATTTCTCCTTTGAATACATTTTTTATCAAACATATTGCTCAATTCAAAAAAATTCCAAGTTTAATTTTTTGGTGAATTTTGAATCTGGTTGGTGAATCCATTTTTTTTTTTTTTTTGACTTTTCAAGCAGTCTATATAATAAGTGGCGAATACCGGGGAAAGACTTAAAAGAAGACAAATACAATTACGGCGTTTTGATTAACTTATCTTAAATTTATGATTTATATTTTCTAATAGATATCTTACTCAAAAAAAAAAAGAGATATTTATTGTCAAATTATCTGTGTATTTTTATAATGATTGAGAAAAAATATATTTTTTAGTTTTTCATTTGGTAAGTACTATGTAGATAAAATTGTTTAACTTACCTAAAAATTAAAATGCTTTGAAATTTAACGGGGGTTCATTGTAAGTTGTACATAGTAAAAAAAAAAATTAAAAATTGAGCGTGATATAGTATTTTTTTTTTTTATATATAAGTGTTTAAGTATAAAATTTTGATAAAAATCATAAATATTACGGCATTTTAAAATATTAATAAATGAACTTTTGTCAGAGTAGTATTAAGTTAGTAATAGTTTATCGTTTTTGACAGATATGAATTAAATAACTTAGTGTATCCTACATTTTCAACTTCTCAACTACAATAGTGTTATGCCTATCAACAGTATCATCTTTCTTTCTTTTTTATCTTTTTTCCTGTCCATGAATGATACACTCGCCTTTAGACATTCAACTATACTCGTTTGTATGTATGTTTATTAGAAAACGTGAACAATGAACAATCTTGATATGGAGTATTACCAACACTAAAGTTTTTGAAGAACGTTTAAAATTATTTATGAGCTAACATTTTTGATGACTCAATAAAGTTATTCGCAGTAGTACCATTTTTTTTTTTAAAAGTGTCATTTAAAAAAATTTTTAATGATAAAATTAATAATAAGTTTCTATACATCTACCAACACAATCTTAAAGAACTAGCTTAAAACAGTGAAAGTCACATGAATTGTATTTTTTCATCAGAAATTTAAAATTATATACAAATTATACACTGATCACTTACTTAAAGTACACATGAATATTCTTAAATACATCTGTTTCAAAACTAGCAACAGATGGGTTCCTAAACATAAATTAAATATAAACATAAACTTGAACTAAATAAACTTCAAAGTGATCTCAATATGACATGTTATGGTACACGAATGTAAACTTTTACCTTTAAGATGTATCAACACTGGTAAGGGAACTTTTTATGAGCGTGTACAAGTGTTTAAGCCACGTCGTGTGACTCGTGTATAGGCGCATGTGGGTTAGTTTAAATAAATATACATATTTAGATGTATGATAAATACAAAATGCGAAATGAAAAAAGACGTCCTAGGATAATGGGGTCAGATGCTAAAGGCACTATTATAGGTAATTTAATGCATGCATGATTCTGCGCGTAGTTCAGTTTATAGTAATGCTTTGTCATAAATTCATATGTTATCTTATTGAAAAATAATCAAATACACATTATAAATTATCTTTAAATAATATTTGTTTAATATTGTACCGATTTTCCCGCTTTTCCAGCGTTTTCCCCATGTTTTTCCCCAGTTTTTCATATTTGCTGGGAAAACTCTTGGCAAAATCGAAAAACGACCTCTTCAAAGTACCTCCCCAGTCAGATTTCCGTTTAGAAAAAGTACTACTATTGTAAATCGCAGTAAAATTGCTGGTAGAAAAATTGTCAACAGAAAAAAAATCGTAATATTTTTCTAAAATAATTCTCGTCTTTTTGTCCGTTTTTCACGAATTTTTTGTATTTATCGGAAAAACTTATGGGGAAATCAAAAGTGGGCTACTAAGTATCTTAAAGATAAAATTATCTTTCAGAAAATAAGCTACACTTAGTACTTTGGAGCAAGATTTTTAGTAGAATAGCTTGCACAACAAATCGAGGCATATTTTGCGATTAATATCATCCGGGCGAGCGATGACTTGGATCTCTAGATACACCCAAAATGTATTTGTTTTGTACTTGTTTAGGTAAAAACGGAAAAAATGCAAACATTTTTTTTTATCGAAACACGTGTTCAAACTCGTGAAACCTAGGTTGAAAGTAGGTGTGTGTAACCGTTTGTTTACGACAGACATAGAAGACAATATTTAGCTATTTAACATAATATATAATATCAGAACTTCAAAAATTTATAATTTCTAAACTTAGTTAGTCTGCTCAATTCTGACTTTACCATTGTTCTTAAATCCTAAATTCCAAATTTATTTAAAAATCAAATTTTTTCCACATAATTTTTTATTCAACGATTTTCGTCACAATTTGATATTAAAGTTCCATTTGCGCATTTTTGCGGTGACGTGTCCAACTAAAAGATTCAATCAGTTTTGAAAGTGTTAATTTGTATTGTGCGGTATTCCATTGGTTATTGAGAATAATACAAATTTAATCTATTAATAGACTGTACACAGAATGGATATTTATTACGCGTATTGCCTTATTCTGTGCTTGACTTTTTACTAGCTTAATAACTGATAATTATTTAATAATATGCGTCATGTCATAAACCGCCAAAACTTATATACTGATATGATCTAATTTGATTTAGGTATAGGTTCAGCGCTACTGCTCGTACGACGCACGCATTATTAATAAACTAACACGGAAACAGTATCATATTAAAATATAATTTGTATTAATGCTAAAGTTTCCAAATTTAACTCGCACCAGTGGTATTGTTAATCAAAGTGCTTATAGTAACGGACAAGGCTGTATTTTGTGTTGTATTTTCAATCCGAATTAATCCACTTGTATTTATTGTTTGATGCCATTTTAATTATTATATTTATAACGAGTTTTATATTTGTTTTTTTTTTTTTTTGCAATAAACATCGGTCGAAAAAAATGTATTTTATATTTCCAATAGAGCGAAGTTGGTATGGTGTGGAATTGAATTGACACTGGATGATTGAATTTATTTTAATGTTTTATCGACGATTAATGTTTTTTATATACAACTATAATCTCTTATAATAGTTGCATACATAATGTTATATTGATTTATCGATTGGAATTTTAACACTTACTTTATTACCCATAAAACATTTTTGA